AGGCCCACACTCAATCTACTGAGCTACACCATCCAGGGCTCCAAAACATTTTTTTAACCACGTGTTATGTTTAATTGTAAAGCTAAGTCTAAGAGGGCAGAGCCGGGTTGGAAAAATAGTGTGTAAACACGTATACCTTGTTTTATTATGCTTCACTTTACTCTGCCTCGCAGATACTGAGTATTGTATTTTATTTTATTTTATGAAGGTAACACTGGTTAATAACATTACATAATGTAAATGTTATATAAATTGAACCCATGACCTTTCACTTTACAGGATGATGCTCCAAACGATTGAGCTACACCAGCCAGGACTCCTCAGTTAATTCTCTTTACAGGAGTGAAACATAATTATTTGACAACTTACATGCATGGAAATGAAGCAAGTTTTGCAGGTCTGACTTCATCTGCCCAGTTCTTTTTGAGCAGAGATTGTATTTCACCTTATTTTCAAAACATTGTTCTTTCTACTTGGGATGTTATTAATATTTTCTGGAATCCTAGAAAGGGTCCAAGAAGTTTCATTTTTTATATTTGTTTCCTTTGGCAAACTTGTTTCTAGAAAGGACATTTTAACCTACTTGCCAATTGCTTTTAGTGACCTCCCGTTGTTGAAAGGAAAAGACTCTCTCAAAATAGACTTAAAAGGAGCCGTCAATCCCACTTCTGGGGATATATCTCAAGGAACCCAAAACATTAATTCAAAAGAACGTAAGCACCCCCATGTTCATTGCAGTGTTATTGACAATTGCCAGGATATGGAAGCAGCCCAGGTGTCCATCAGTAGATGAATGAATAAAAGAACTATGGGACATTTACACAATGGAATACTAATTGGCCCATAAAAAAGAAAATTTTACCCTTTGAGAAAATATGGATGGACCTGGAGAACATTATGCTACGTGAAAATAGCCACTTAGAGAAAGACAAACACCGTATGATTTCACTCATGTGGAATCTAATGAACAAACTGAACTAACAAACAAAACAGAGACAGACTCATAGATGGCAGGATGACAGCTAAGGGTGGGGGAGGTCAGTGGGTGGAGGGATTGAGCAAAAAGGAAAAGGGACTCATGGACATGGCCAACAGTGTGGTGATTGCTGGGGGGAGGGGTATATAAGGGGACTAAACGGTAATGGAAAAAAATGCAATAAAATTTTTTTAAAAAGAAAGGAGCTGCCCCAGCTGGGGTGACTCAGTAGACTGAGTGCGGGCCTGTGAACCTCCGGTTTGATTCCCAGTCAGGGCACATGCCTGGGTTGCAGGCCAGGTCCCCAGTGGGGAGGTGTGAGAGAGGCAGCCAATTGATATCTCACACAATAATGTTTCCATTCCTCTTTCTCCTTCCCTTCCCCTCTCTCTAAAGAGAAATAAATAAAAAATTTAAAATAAAACAAAATAAAATGTCTGATACAGGGCTCTGGCCAGTGAGACTCAGTTGGTTGGAGCATTGCCCCATAACCAAAAGGATTCCTGGTTCATATGCTTGTGATTCCCAGTCCAGGTGTGACTACCAATCGATGCTTCTCTCTCACATCCATGTTTCTCTCTCTCCCTTCCTCTCTCTCTAAAAGCAATAACAAAAACAAAGTCCTCAAGTGAGGATACAAAAGAAGTCTGATACATACAACATGAATGTTGAAAAAATTGTGCTAAGTGGTATAAGCCAGACAGAACATGACAATTATTGTATGGTTCCATTTATATAAAATGTCCAAATAGGCAAACTCATAGAGACAGAAAGCAGACAAAAGCAAAGAGGCTATCAGGGTCAGGAGGGAAGAAAGGATTGAGAATCGCTGTTTAACAGGTACAGAGTTTCTGTTTGGAATGATGCAAAAGTTCTGGGAAGGGAGAGTAGAGATGGTTGTACAACACTGTGTATATTTCATGTTACTTACTGAATTGTGCCCTTAAGGCTCGTTCAGATTTAACCAGTTTTACAGGCACTTGTGTGTGTGTGTAGTTCTCTGGTTGTGATACTGTATGACATTGTACAAGCTGTTATCACTGCAGGGGATGGGTGAGGACGTCCATGTACATACATGTCTTTGTAACTTTCTGTGAATCCATAATTGTTTCAAAAGGAAAAGTAATACAAACACTTCATACTGAGAGCAAGAAAGAGGACTGCAGTCAGATTCCAAACCAACTTGAGGGCAAATGTAATACCTTGTCCTGGTTTTCTGTGTGAGAAATGACCATTCATTCCCCTTGAGGAGCGCTCTCTGTTCCTCAGGAGTGGCTCTCGCAGGATTTACGGTTCCAAAGAAGATGCCGCGCAGACTGTGAACCTTCCTTTTTTAGACAACATGCGCAATCTGTCATCACGTTCTTTCCAAGAAGTTAAATGAAAGACTTAGGAAAGACTCTGCTCTGTCCTTACCAAGGTTCTGTTACAATCGGAAGTCACCGATTCTAAAAAAAGAGTGAGCTAGCTTTTTCACCTTGATTCTCCCTTGGTTAAAAGAAAAAGCAAAACCCAAACTCACTGGCAGTAATAGGTGGTTTTCAGAAAATCCTCGAGTAAAAATTTGCGTCATTGCGATATTTGTTACCACTGAGAGCATGGAAACAAAATGACTTAAATTGATCTTTGTTCATTTAATTAAATGCAGTTCATTACACTATTGTTTCTTTTATTTTTATTTATTTTTGGAGGGAAGGAGCAAGAGAGGGAAACATCAGTGTAGTTGCCTCTCATGTACCCCCCACTGGAGGTCCAACCTGGCCCACAGCCCAGGCATGTGCTCTGACTGGGAATCAAACTGGTGACCCCTTGGTTTGAAGGCTGGCACTCAATCCACTGAGCCACACCAGCCAGGGCATGCTTTTATTTCTGTAAGTAGCCAGTCAACATTGCTGCAGGTTAGTAAGCTACGGAAGGCACTGAACATTCAAATAAATCAGGGGACCTCTTTGTCTAGGCTTGCCATTCATCACACAAACACCCCAAGAGGGTTTTAATACATGAAAACAACACAGGACTGATCTGGGAATTGGATGCTATCAACTACTTAATAAGTTAGACTTTTTAGTATAGTAAAGTTCTAAAACAGCAAATCCTTATTTAAAAAGACAAATACTCTCACTCTTTGTCTCTGGAATTGTAAATTTGTACAACTTTCTTTGGAGATGTTGGCAGTAAATACCCAATGTCATAGAAATATTTTTATCCTTTGATCTAGTAATTTAATTTCTGGGAATTTACTCAAATCAAGTAATTAAAAAGAAGACATAAACTATGTTATGAAGACATTCCTAACAACCTTCTATATAATAACAGCTTCCAGAAAATAACCTAAATGCCAAATAATAATGTTTAAATAAATGATGAATTGCCAACCTAATGGGATATTATATAGCTATGAAAAATGATAAACAGGCTACATATCAAACATAAAGGTATTTGTAAAACAATTCAAAATTCCTGAAGCATTTCATAGAATGAATCTGAATTATCTTCCACAGACGAGCAACATCTGTGCAATGAACAAGGTTGAAAAACAATGAACGAGGTTGAAAAGAAAACTCACATCCTTGGGTCTGTTTAATAGATTTTTATAAAATGCAAGGAAATAGAAGCTGTTTCCAAGTTGAGTGGGAAAATTCAAACCTGTGGAAATCTTTCTAAATGTTCCAAGGTGTGCTCTGAGCCAAGGCATGCCATGTTAATGCTGAGGGATGACTTTCACAGCAGACTGTGCAGAGAGCAGCATCTTTAAATGCTCTGGATACAGTAACTCGTGTGCTGAAGATGACAAAATGAGCCCTGGCTGGTGTGGCTCAGTGGGATGAGTGCCAGCTTGCAAACCAAGGGGTTGCTGGTTTGATTCCCAGTCAGGGCACATGCCTGGGTTGTGGGCCAGGTCCCCAGTAGGGGGTGTGTGAAAGGCAACTGCATATTGATGTTTTTCTCCCTCTCTCTCTCTAGAAATAAATAAAATCCTTAAAAAAATTACAAAAAGATTCTCAGGGGTTGCTGGTGAGCACAAAACCACCAGTAATTACATGTAAAGTCTCTTGGGAGCATGAAAGGTATTTTGGAATAAGATTTTCCAAAAAAAATCACAAAGGTCCAGATTTAGCTGCCCTCAAACACCCTTGAGTGACCGAGCAGCCACATCTCCTTTCTCTGAGTTAAAGGGAAATGACGATCTGTCTTTTGTGTCTGCCTTTGGTGCAGAATGTTCGCACTTCCAGTTCCACACCTGTCCCTAAATTGAGTGTTTAATTCAACTCAGTAATGATGCTGCACTGTGTGGCCTGACTCATCAGGACATGAGATCATGTCCTTTGTTGTGTATTAGCTCAAGGTCTCAACACTGGGACCAGAACAAGAGCATTAAGGCAAAGTACAAGGCTGTTCCTAATTTTCCCAGGAGAAGTTACATGTTTGGACTTGAATGGGATATCCTACTGCATGCTACAGAAAAGGGAGAATTTACAGAATGTGGAATATCAGAGAGCTTATAATTAAGCAGAGAAAGTCATCATATGAAATTAGAAAACAGGGTCTACCTGGACCAACCACACGAAGTCACACACATACACACACGGAAGTGCATGTACACACGACACGTGGGAGAGCCTGGTGTCCCTGTGGGGTGGCGTGCCTACGGAGCCCTTCCAGGTGGTGTTTCCTGATTGCCACTCAGACTGCAGTCTTGCATTGGACTAGGAGAAAGAGGCACCTGTCAGATGGATGAATGAGTCTGTGTGTGTACCCCACTGGGTTACAATTTACCTAAAGTCTATTCCGGCTGGAGAGTTAGAGCTGGCACCCAGGCTTTTCCCACTAGGGGTGCTGGAGGCACCACATGGCTATGAGCAGGCCAGGCTTCCTTGTGCACAAATCCCCCAGAACCAGGTCTACAGACTGGCCATTGGCCCTTCCTTCTACCTTGATCACTTCTTTTCCATCAACCCACAACAAATTCACAGTTGCCAACATTCCGTTGGGAACAGGGGACAGAGGTAGCCACACTTGGAAAGAAGATTGCTTTGTACTTTATTTACAACAGAATGTAAGAAAAAGTAAGTTATTAACAATAATAAATAACTGGGAAAAAACCCCCACAAAACAGCCATAAAATGACACAGAAGGATGGTGTGTGTGTGAAGGTCGCCTTTTGTTTGCTTTGTCTGGAGTCTACAACACTGTGCATTCCTAAGCTTGGTCCTTCAGCAGCGGCAGTGGTGTATCGACCCACTTAACTAATCGAGATCCCAGCTTGAAATGTAAACACTAAAAATTATACTTGCAACTACGCAGAAGGGGCATAGGTATAACGCCAACTCAAAGAATCTCTTCTTGGTGATATGTAGAAACTGAAGGGGGACTTGCAATTCAAGACATGCTTTCAATTTTAAGCAAAAACATCCTAAAGCATGTATTAACAACAAAACTACAGTTAATGATTATCTGAAAAGTTCTCAACATATTCACATTCTCTTATTGCACTAACTCCTAAAAAGCTTAAACATTTATGTTCCGAATGCAAACAGATTGTTTTGAAGGTAAAACACAGAAGAACCCGGTGTTGCCTCGGCACACCAATGCCGTGCAATTGTGTAACATTTCAGTGCCGACAAGATGGTTGTTTTAGGTAGTCTACCCATGACCCATTATAGTCACTGGACAGGTTTTTTAAAAAAAAATCTCAGGTGGCACACTGCCACCAAGCCTGCTGAGTCAGATAATCAGAAAGGGACTAAAACTAGGCAATTCTTGTTTATTGAATTATCTGAATGCACATCACATGTAAAAATCATACTCCGACCCTTCTGAAAAAGTAAAATTCCTTTTGACCAAAACCAGCCAATGACCTTGTTGTCTCTGAGCCATGAAGAGATACTCAAGAAAGTAGAATTTAAAAACACACATAAACACACCAAGCCTTGAAATTTTCACAGAAAAATGATTCGAGAAGTGCCAGAATCTACTCCTAGGTCACTGTTTATTACGGTGCCTTGGCAGAAGACCACAATTACTTATGGGGTCTTGGGTTTAAGTGCCTGCATTATACAACCACGACTGTGCTTAGAAATTTACACTCACGACCAAAAACATGGCTAACAAGTACCTCCAACAGTATTAAAGCCATTCCTCCCGCACAGACACAAAACCATAACAGAAGGGTTTATAAATGAGCCCGCCAATGGACACGTATTGTATCAGCTATCACGGTGTTAACCGCACCATGTCGTGGCCTCCTTTGCTGTGCTTTATGACGGCCCAAAAGCAGCAATAATGAAGTGGTCTTCAGAGCCAACTTCTGACCAAGTTGATGCGGTAGAAACACCGAGACCTTCTTATTGTGGAAAAGCACTGATAGCCGCCCTGCTGTACTAGAGCCAAAGGAAGCACAGTGCGTTTCCTCTCTGAAATCTGCCCAGAGTAATGCCATCTGCAGTCACTGCCACGGCCTTCACGAATGTCAGAGATGGAGATGGTGTGCACAGGTGTTCTGCGGGTTCCTTCGATTCGGCTAGCAGAGACTTCAAACTGGTGGTGTCTGACTCACTACACTATATTTATATATGTATATATATACAGATATAATACAGTTTTGGTGAACAAAGTTGAAGGGTTCCACATTGCAGACAGAGGCACTGAGTTAAAGATTCTATTTTCCCGCAAACATGCTTAACAAATTCAAGTTTCTGTTTTTTTTCCTTGTAAGTTTCCATCATGCAGCCATTTAATTTCCATTCTTATAGGAATTATTAATGTTCTATATACACATTCATTGCAGGCTAGTACCCCACAATAAACAAAAGCATGTATGGAGGAAATGTCAAATGACACTTGAAAATCAAAATAGATTAAAATATAAATCCTTTATGCTAGTGATGGATTAAATATTCGAAGCGGCTAAAGGAATATATGCATCCCCCTTTATTAAATGCACAGAAACCACATGGGGACAGAAAACTGAACATATTTTAAGAGCACACACATTTGATAGCTAAAAACCAGACTTATCATCAGCAGTTTGTAATTGTTATCTGTGGCATTGTGCAGACCATGAGAGAAAGAAAACTCACAGAAGGAAATCAGAAATTAGCTTTCTAAAGCACAGAGAATTGTTGACCTTGAGAGCAGAGGCAACTTTACAAAGAGCAATGGCATTCCTGGAATCTCTAGGTGTCAGATGTGTTCACAACCTGCACAAAAACTGGTTCTATTAGAAAATGATCCCATCCCCTCCTGACGTCCGCTTGCAAATAAATGGTAAGCAAATACATACACTATTACCACCTCATGAAAACAGAATTTTGCTTCCTAAAGCCAAACATTCTTGTTAAGTATCGTGGAGAGGGAGTCATTGAGAAGGGGGTGGTAAAAGATTGTTTTCCCACAAGCAAAAATCATGCTACTATACCATGCAAGGATGTCTTATTACAATGCTATCTTCTTAATGAAGAGATGCATTGTTGATCTAAGCTATTTGCAACTCGTTTCCCTTGAGTTCTGGGCTTATTTATTTTTTGAGCTAAATATCAACCTGTAGATAAAGAAATGAGCTTGACAGTCTGATGGAGAAGTTACTTACTCGGTGCTGGGCTCATGGGGCCAGCACCTGCACCTTTGGGAGTTTGTCTACTTGAAAGACACAGTGCAGAGTGCTGAGCACTCAGAGGAGCGGGCAGGGTCCACTGGCTGAGAGGCTGCGACAAAGAATATGCTCCTTGATCTGCGTGTTTCCTTTGGAATCTGTTTTGGGAAGGTCCCTTTCCTGAGGTTGGAGGTTACGGTAAGGAAGGCTAGCTGGGGGCTTGGAGTTGCCCAGTTACCTTCCTATCTTCCTCTCATGGAGGACACCAATAAATGCTAGATTCTGTTGGCCCTTCCTTCTGTGTTTAAAGGCAGTGAGGTGCGAAGGTGGCAGGTTTTCCCTCTTAAGATCAGAGGAGAGTTCTCTTTCTGCCACTTTGGTGAATGATCTCGCCTCCCATCAACCTTCAATCTAATCTTGCCTTAGTGACACTTGCTGAAAAGAAAGCTAGACAGAGGGGCACCTCCTGTCTATCTCCTCCTTTTTCCTCTACAAATAAAGACTCAACAGTTCTGTTCACTCTCTCCTCCCACTTGACTTCTGTGACAATCCCGATACTTGGGTTTCATGTAAGGAGTGAGAGAATAACAGTCTTTTCTAAGGTCTGGTGATGGGCTATGGGTTCCAGAAAGGCTGGATCTTATTAAAAGTAAAATCGGGAAGGAGATGAGAGACAATTCTCTTCTTTAGGGTTCCCCTGAACCAGACATCCTGACAGAATTCAAGTCCTGTTAGGTTACTCTACCCTTGAACTTCTTTGAATGGGCCAGTAGTCAATGAATTCTAATTGCAGATTCTGAGAATCTTCATGGATGATGGAAACTGACAGGTTAAGATTTGTTGGTACCTGTAGAAGAAGATGTTTGTCTTACCTGGGCCTCCTGGTTCCTAACTCAACCCTTCCAAAACCTGCCAGTGAAGGTTACATTCACCCACGCGGTCACAAAGGGGAAAGTTATTAAAAGACAGAAGTGGAATCTTTATTAAATTCTGTGAAAGGTATAAATAAGTCATCATTAATTGCACTTGGAGCCTCTATAGGTTGATAAATTTTCAAAAAATTTTAAGTGTTAATTAGGCCCCAAATCCTGAGTCAGACTAATAATCAAAGTAGGAATCTTAGTAACTAGTCGTATTCAAGTATTGGTGAGGAGCAGTTCAAAATTTAACAATTAGGTATGTTATGCCTGAGAGTATTTTTGAGAATTTGATGGGAGGAAACTGACTATTTTACCACACCTTGTAACACAGTGGTGCAAAGTTGTCATTTATTTACCCTTGAAGTCCATACCAACCTCACCAAGTGCCCAATGACAAGGCTTCCTTCCTGGCTGCAGCTGCGGCTACGGAAGATGCCTTTTCTCCTTTGCATGTCTTACATTTTGCATCTAACATGGCGCTGTGTGGCATATTGAGGGACTCATGTTATATGTGAAATGACGTAACCACGTGCACACTCAGAAATTGAAGGAACATGTTTGAGTGACAAAGCAGTCTTTTTCTATAGAAGATTCTTTAAAAAACAAACACAAAACAAACACAAATAAACAAAGAACAAAAACCAAAACGACCAACCCTGGAAACGAAAATATAAAACCCCATGAAATATTCAGGTGGAGTTACTCTGATTTGGGCCGGCATGGCTTATCCGCAGAGGGTACGCCAGGTAAATTCAGGGTGGCTTGTTTTTCGGGGTCTGGAAGCGTGAGAGTTTCTGGGGCAGACTTTTTCCGGGGCCGATCTTTGGGAACAGACAGAAACTCGGGCGCGTCTGTGGACAGAGGGGTGGACGGAGCGCTAGAAGGGGCGCTGCGGACTGAGGAAGGCAGCAGGGGAATGCTGGAGATAGAGATTGCGGGTGGGAAAACGCCAATTTTCTTGTTGGTGGCTTCCTGAGTGGCGCGTTCAAATTCTCGGACTTCATCCATTGTCATGTCTTCAAAGAAAAAAAAGACAGAAAAATGAGAAGTTATTTAGAAGGAGTACAGATGCATTAATCTCTATGCCTGTTTCTAAGGGACATATAGGAACACTACGGGAAGGGGCCCCTCTGGTTTATAAACCCAAATCATCATTGAAATGCTAAACCCTGAACACCCTGGATTTTCCCTTCTTATACAGGTAAACCTCTGAAGCAGCAGTCCTTCATGAATACACATCCAAGACTTCCCAAAACACTCTTCGATGAGTATTTGATGTATTCTGAATAAGGAAGTAACAGGGGAGTACAGAACCCAACCAGAGCAGTGTATGTATGTGAGGGTGCAACTCTGACCAGACCTGGCCATCTTCTGTACAAAGGGAAGGAAATTAAAACAATCAATGACCCCAAGATGATGCACACAAGGTGTGGCAAAAGTAGGTTTACAGCTGTATGTGAAACAGTTTATTCTTTTTTTTGAAAGATTTTATTTACTTATTTTTAGAGAGAGAGGAAGGGAGGGAGGAAGAGATGGAGAGAAACATCAATGTGTGGTTGCTTCTCATGCACCCCCCACCGGGGACCTGGCCTGCAACCCAGACGACCCTTTGGTTTGCAGGCTGGCATTCAATTTACCGAGCCACACCAGTCAGGGCTGAAACAGTTTATTCTTGTATTATAATTTATTACTTAGTGTATTATTTTTCATATGAACACCGTAACCTATTTTTGCCCTACCCTGAAAAATAATAGGTCATATAAGAACATATGAACAGCCCTGGCCAGCGTGGCTCAGTGGATTGAGAGCTGGCCTGCAAACCAAAGTGTTGCCCGTTCGGTTCCTGTATAGGGCACAGGCCTGGGTTGCAGGCCAGGTTGCTAAAGGGGGACGCACAAGAGGCAACCATACGTTGATGTTTCCTTCTCTTTCATCCTCTCTTCCCTCTCTCTAAAAATAAAAAAATAATATCTTAAAAAAAAAGAAGAAGAACATATGAGCAAATCAGAAATATTTTAAAAAATCCTTAAGCAGATTCCCTGGAAACTACTACTAAATTTTCTGAAAGGGAATGTTTTTACCAAAGAAATACAAAATTATGGCTGTGTGGATATAAAACTCAGAATAGAACAAGAAAAAATGTACCTGTAACCTTACCATTTGTTAAAAAATACTAAGACTATTCAACAAGCTTAAAAAAACAAGATTACATTTTTAAAAAAGAGGCTTTGCAAAATAAAATGGAGACTTTGACAAAATGTCAGTAACTCGGGGTCTGTTTCTGCCGTAGCAAATGGATATCACCCTGGAAAAATCGGGCTTTGGGAAGGAGCAGCCGAAGACACTGCTCTACTCCACACACCCAGCAGAGAGCAGAGACGGCCCACAGTGCACGGGAGTTTGATTTCACAGTCCCTTCCAGGAGTCTCTTTGAAGTTCCCTTCCATGCAGGGACTGAAACCGCTCAATCGAAAAGGAGATTATTTCCTTGCTGCTGTGAGCACGAGTGTTAATTTTACATACTTTCGATCTAATTTGTTCCTACTCAGGTTGATGATTTAAATGTTACTGAGCACCCATGCAGTTTTAATTTGTGCCAGACAGCAGCGTCTTGATTTCAGCGGCTTTTCATTATGATAGAGAAGAGAGACAATGGAAAAATAAGTAGTCTTCAATTTAGAGGAATTCCACAGAATAAGGGAAATATTGTAAATATTCAAAATAACCACTTTGTGTAACTTCATGTAGGTGGGCATGTCTCTCGCTGAAGCCCTGGGAATGCCTATGAGTTGCGGCCAGAGAATGCACGGGCTTTCCCATGGGGAGAAGCATTCCAGGTACCCTCATCTACCTGGTAAACTCTTCTTCAACACCAGTAACCGCCGCAAAATGAAAAGAAAAGCAACAAAGAGCCTAAAGCCTAAAGCTGCAAGAACTCGGAACGAGGGAAGCACTGTGCTTTGCATCTTTGGACTGTGGCGCCTCCCTCTTTCCTGCTTTCTTTGCCTGGTCATGCTGACATTGGGCATCTTTCAGACAGTGGCAGGGGGAACTGGTGTCTAACATTCCTAAAAGAAAATGTAACTGAAAAGTGATGACAGTTGAAGGGCAGTTTCCATAAGGAGCATGCATTTCTAACTTGAGAACGGGATGGGGAGGGGGGCATTCCTACTAGTCTTCACAGAGAGAGGATCACCTGGGCTAAACCTTGGGAGAGGGGTTTTCTGCAAATCTGATCACTGCATGCAAAACAGGGAGGGAGAGTCAGGGCCATTTCAACCTCCTCGTCACATGCATCCGATAGCAGCCTTGCAGGGCACATGCCAAAGGCATACTCTTAACTGAAGATTTCCAAAGGGCAAGCAAAGGCCTTCACAATTCCAAAGCATCCATTTACAACAATAGCCACTGCTCAATCTTCTGTAAGTACATCATCCATCTCTTAAAAATCTAATTAATGTATTGTTCTGGGGCATGCAGGCTCAAGCTGGCACCCAAAGAGATCACAGGTCTGGCCAAAGGTACATATAAATGACTCAGTGACTACATTTTTCTTTGTCATCTGTATCCCCTCTTCATTAGCACGAATGACTGAGACATAACTATATTTAAAATGCTGGCACACACCATTCTGTTAGCTCTCAATTTCTGTTGTGCAAGGGAATAACCTCAGGCTCCAGGGGATTAGGTCCCAGGCTAGATCTGGCACAGTCCCTGCTCACTACCCCTTCACTGCACAGCCAGTGTGTATGGACAGACCACACACCCACCCTGACATTACCCTAGCCATAGAAAGCATTTCAAAGCAAATGTAAGGAACCCTAAAACGCCAGATGGGCCAGAAGCCTTCCCTTGAATGAATAACTGTTACCTATGTTTTTAAGTTATTGATGCGATGTTCTAGTTTTCTTAGGGTACCTGATTTTATCCCTCTGTTCTTTTATGGTGCAGGCCAGGCCATTCTAGTACCACAAAATGTTTCCACTCTCCGTGTTCTTAGTTTTGTGACCACAACAACCCGCCAAGTGCAGTGGCTTTAAAGAATTGAAATGTCTGGAAGCAAGAGGTGACACTCCCCAATTTAGACCCACAGCTCAGGTTCTTTACCAACAGCCTCTGGGCGATGGCACTCTTTGTGGAAGTTTGAAAATTGAGCGTTCGCAGCATTTCAAAGATCAGTTGATGTGTATGTTTCGTAAAGGGTGGGCAACATGTTTTAAAAATTCTACATACACTTGTTTGGGCATGGCTCTCTATGGCATCCACAGTGGCGGAATGCTGATTGCAAACTTTTATGTTGGTTTGTTCATGCATGTTTTTCTCGTATTCCCGAACATCATCCATTGTCATATCTGAAAGAAGGTCAAGACGTTGGCAACTTCCGTTATTAAATGCAAACTTTCAACGGGGAGACTTTAGGGAAAAACGGTAGCTTAGCAGAAGCCAGAGAGAGGTTCAAAAAGCAGGGGATTCACTAACTTTATGAAGAGTGAATCATAAAGTTAGCCAAACCAGCCAAAGGGGGAGTGAGTACAAGGAAGTGAAGTCAAAACAGTCTCAGAACAGAGAAGAGTGGAAATTATTTAGGGGTGGCTTTTGAAGAGTGAGCTGAGTGGGCAGAGTGTTAGCACGTGGGCAGCGTCGCAGGCTGAGATCTCCTAAACCAGAGTTAGAAGATCCCTTCGGGGACAGGCTCAGGGTTGCCTGGTTCAACACTTACCTTCCATGTACCTTTCCAAATAGATTCTTTCAGTCAGTGCATTCAACAACAGAAAGGACGCTTTCATTGCTATTATAGGAGGCATGATGTAGAAGGCAGAGAAATGGCGTTGACTGGCACAAGTGAGGCCGGGTGCAATGCTCGCACAGGGGTGAGTCTTTGCACAGAATATAGGTGTCAGAGTGCAGGTCTGCCCTGAACTTCAGTCTAGCCTAACAGCTTGAGGATGGCTGGCACTGCTCACACCCACGCTATTCTATAAATAAACTGGCACATGACATTATGATTTTTGGTCCAAGTCTGTAGTTTTTCAGTATCTCAGAATAATGATATATTAATCTACTGGTTCTCAATGGGGGACAATTTTGTGACATTTATGACTGTCACATTGGGATGCCCCCCTTCCTCCAGCAAAGAATGATCTGGTCCAACAGCCAATGAAGCTGAAGTTGAGAAACAGTGTCCTCATCTGACTGATACAAAACTCCTAACACAGAACCCGTCCACTTTCAGCATGTGAAATGCATAAAATAACAATTTCCCGCCCCCGCCACCCCACTACTCCTTGGCTATATCACTGCATTTTATCAGCAGGTTCCCCAGATGGGCATTCTTTTGGTGCTTTTGTGGCAGAATTTAACTTTATGCCTCTTTACAGTAAAGGTATGCTGAGCGATTGGTTAGTCGGCCACTCTGATCACTAATGGTCTTGGGGATCTAGAGCGGGTGTTCACAGCTGTCATTTTTCCTTAGGTGTTTTCTGCATCATGGGTTTGGTGTGTGTTTATATCAATCCATGCATGTCATGTGAGACTCTCTTTATTTCCAAAGGGCAGACTTGCCAGAAGTTTATGATTTCATTCAGTCTGGTCTGGAGCCAAGATGGAGGGCGGCTCTAAACCCAGACCTGGGCTACGTCACTTAATGGATGGTTCCCACCCCTCTCCAAAGCCGTCAATGAAGGATGCTGTCCATAGCAATGCAAGTATCAAGAATGCTAAGCAGCAGTCTGGCCAAGCAAAGAGCATGCTTTTCTTTTAGAAAACTGAAGTAACTGGAAGCAATAAAGAGATGCTGCTTTGTGATTAAAACAATTGCACCTTAGTTAACAAAAATAACACATTCTTTCAATACAATCACCTTAATTTCAATGGCTGGTTATCAACATTTCTTAAACACAAATATACCTGGAATGAATACTGAAGTCATTTTAAGCTAAAAGTTTAAAGTTTAAAGAAATTTCTCTGTACTTATGTTCACTCAACACTTTTCTTTCCCTACCCCTTACTGCCGGGA